AGTGGTTGAATTTGATCAGGTGACCGTGAGGAATGTTGCGAGGGTGAGGATTGGTTGTAAGACAATTTTGTCAGTGGAGTTGTAACTGCGAATGGTCACTAAATGAATGGCGGTAAGTTGAGGATTATCTGCATTGATTAAATGTGTTCTTATTCTTATCTTGCCTTGCTTAATCAGAATTCAGTTGTTCTCGAATAATGCTGTTAATGTTGAATTCAATACTCCAGTAATTCTGATCGAATATTGTCGATCAGAAAGGTCAGCAGTTTGGCGGTTCGAATCCCTAGCGCTGCGTAACGGAGTGAGCTCCCGTTACTTGTCCCAGCTTCTGCCAACCTAGCGGTTTGAAAACACGTAAAAAATGCAAGTAGGAAAATAGGAACCATCTTTGGTGGGAAGGTAACAGCATTCCGTGTGCCTTTGGCATTTGGTCATACTGGAGATGTCTTCAGACAGCGCTGGCTCTTCGGCTTTGAAACGGAGATGAGCACCACCCCCTAGAGTTGGAAATCACTAGCACATAGGCGCAAGGGGAACCTTTATCTTTTGCTGTCTGATAGGTTCTCTTAATTCTTCTTAAACGCTGGTTTTGACTTGGCTGTTTCTCAAATGGGCCACTATCTGAAACGGTTAAAATCATGGCAACTGGATCAAAGTTTATTAATCTGAGATGTTTTATTACTCATCCAGATAACTTCATCAGTCAAAATAAAATAAAAATAGTTAGCGAGAGAGTCTTTGGAATGTACTAACTCTTGTTATACCGACTGAAGTGGTTTCTACGCATTTCAATTTATCAATGAAAATTCAATCATCCAGGCCAAAAATATCCAAAAAGGTTATTTCATGGCCCTGGACAAAAGGTTGGTTTGATTGGAAACCTTTTGTTACCCATCTGAGTAATTTGAGCCACTCTTTAATTCATCAGTTATTTTTTTGCGGGGGGGGGGGGATGGCTTCTCCTTATAGATCTACAGTCTAGAAGAGACAATGGAGGAAAAAGTGAAATTTGATGGAAAGAGCAAATAAAGGAGTTATTAACGTGATTTGGCAGTTCTTATGTAATGGGTGATGTTTGGGGATGAGAAAAATCTAGAGATCCAGCTGCTCTTTCAGTAATCTTGCAAAAAATTCATTTCCCCCTGAGGTGGCATCTGCAGAGCAGATGTGGTATTCAGCCAGTTCTGACCAGTTCTGGAGAACCGGTAGCAGAAAGTTTGAGTAGTTCAGAGAACCAGCAAATACCATTTCTGGCTGGCCCCGCCCCCATCTATTCTCTGTCTCCCGAGTCCTAGCTGATTGGGAGGGAATGGAGATTTTGCAGTATCCTTCCCCTGCCACAGCCACCAAATCAAACCACACCCACCAAGCCATGCCTGCAGAACTGGTAGTAAAAAGTTTCGAATCCTACCACTGCTGCAGAGAGGCTATGGGGTACTGCCTGAAAGCCTTCTCTTTGCCATAGGTGTCATGACAAGAGAGGAAATGGTGAATTCTAATCCTGCCTTAGCCATAAAAGCCGGCTGGGTGACTTTGAACCAATCACCTGGAGATGATGAATTCTAGTTCTGCCTTAGCCATGGCTACTAGCTGAGTGACATTGGGCCAACCATGAGGAGATGGTGAATTCTATCCTGCCTTAAGCATAAAAACCAGCCAATCACCAGGAGTCAGTGAGTTCTAGTCTTGCCTTAGGCAACAAAGCCAACTGGGTGACTTCAGGCCAGTCACCAGGAGTCAGTGAGTTCTAGTCTTGCCTTGGGCATAAAAGACAGTTGGGTGACTTTGGGCCATTCACCAGGATCAGTGAGTTCTAGTCTTGCCTTGGGCCAGTCACTCTCAGCCCAACTCATCTCACTGAAAAATAGGAGAAGCAGGAAGGTGTGTTGGCTATGTTTGCCACATGAGTTATTTGTAAAAATAATAACAGTGGGTTATAAAATAATGGCCCTTAGGCTGTTAAAAGGCCAGCTTGGCTCTACTTACAGTGTCACAAAGGCAATATTAACTAACGTTCTCAAAAGGCTTTGAATCCCCACCTCCACCCTTCTGAAATTATATCAAAGTGTGCCAGACGGTGCCGAGCCTGTCCCTTATTGGCCAAGCCCTTTACTTCCAGCCCAACGGCTAAATTCTGAATCACACCAGCAAATTAAGCATTGCTTTGTGGGCTGCTGGTGGTTGAAAGGGACACTTTGAATGGCTCCAAACTCAGCAGGTTGCAAAGACATAATCAGGATGACAGGAACAATTAGCCATTCATAATTCTTTATAGCAGCTGATTAAAATCTCTTTATCCTGCTTACCAAGATCAGAAGGTCACATGGCTAGGAAGTAAAAAAAACGAATTGCTGATCTGGTGATAGATAACCAGATAAATAGAAGCCGGCCTTAGTTCTGACAAATCAAGCTCTTTTAAAAAAATTCTCGGTATCATTTCTGTAGACTCATCTACCCGTTCTTGGTTCTATAGAAAAACAAATGGGCTAATACACACACACACACACACACACACACACACACACACACACACACACACACACATATTTTAACACATCCACCCACGCTATTCCACACTTTTTGGTGCCTTCCTGCTTTTGAAAATTACGCTGAACTCTCTGTAGCTCTTTCTTGATATGTTGCCTTGGTATTTTTCAGTTGGCATGCATTTGGCTTTTTAAAACCTGTAAAATTCCCAAATGAAAGCAGATCACTTTATGACCAACTTTGTTATGCTCATTTGGGGACTGGCCTTTATGGTGTCTGCATGATTTATGCCTGAAAGAATTTGAAACTTTGACAGCAAATGGAGATCTGCAGAGGGAGTGCCAAAAATAATAAAGTGAAGTGAAGTGAAGTGAAAGGAAGGAAAGGAAAGGAAATGGGAAAGGAAAGGAAAGGGGAAAGGAAAGGGGAAAGGAAAGGGAAAAGGAAAGGAAAGGAAAAAGGAAAGGAAAGGAAAGAGGAAAGGAAAGGAAAGAGGAAAGGAAAGGAAAGAGGGAAGGGAAGAGGAAAGGAAAGAGGAAAGGAAAGAGGAAAGGAAAGAGGAAAGGAAAGGTTAGCAGCTGTAATGCATGACAAAAGCATAAAGGCTTCTTCATGCAGCCATGGCCAACCTCTTGGCTCTTTCAACATTTGAGTAGACACCCAACTTTTTGGATATCTCTTTTGTCTGAAGCATCACCTCCAAGCTTCAGAAATCTCAAATTTGAGATTGGCTAGAAGGGCGTGGATTTCTGAAATTTGTTAACAGGTCAGGGAAACTGCTTTGACGAGTTAAGCTCAGTGGTCCTCATCCTTAAGATGTCCAGCTCAGTGTTTCTCAACCAACTTTAAGATGGGTGGACTTCAAGAACTAGACTGGAAGTTCAGTTATAGCAACTGGACTTCTTTTTTTTTCTTGATTTGAAACGTTTTGCTGCTTATTCAAAGAACTTCTTCAGTCTGAGGATGTTGTGGCCCACCAGTGGCCAGCAGAGCTGGCAGCAGATTCGGACAGTGAAGAGGTTGGGGAGGAACATGGGCCAGTCCTGGAGTCTGGGGAAGGCTCTGATGAGGGCTTGGTGTTGGAGGCAGAGAGGGGGCCAGAGCTGTACGACAGTTATCAGTTGCCTTCAGAGGCAGACATCAGTGAGGAAGAAGAACAGCTGGAGCCTGTTCCCAGTGTATGCATGTACAGAGTTGCCAGATGAAGGGAACAGCTAAAGAACAGGGGTCAACCCGGGAGTAAGGCCACAGATGGACGATGAATGGCCCCTCCCAGAGGAAATAAAAGCGGAGCGAAAGGGGAGTGGTGTTTGGAGGAGACAATTAGTTCACTTAATTGGTTCGTGACTCTCCGAGGCTCCTTGCCAAGTTCTGCAGATCTCGGCCTGGCAGCTCTCCAAGCCAGATAAGGTCTGTGACTGCAAATCCTCCCTCGAAAGACTTTGCTGGATGTGAATGAGCAGAATTCACAGGAAATTAATAACAGGATTTTTTGTTGGGACAAAGAGTTTGCTTAATGCTCTTGGGAAGCCTTGGTCAGAACAGAGGAAGTTGGTTAGGGGGACCCTATATATGTCCTCCATCTAATGAGCCTATTCAGTTAGGTGGGAAATGAAACCACCCTGGAGGACATATATGGGTGGGGTCCACCTAACAAATGTGCTCGGAATGAAGCTCCTTGGATCAACAGCAAAACATTTCAAACCAAAAAAGAGCAAAGTCCTGTTCCCATGACTCAACTAGACTAGACTAGACTAGACGTTGGAGGTCTTCTAGTCCAGCCCCCTGCTTAAGCGGGATAATCTATACTATTTCAGAGAAGTGACTGCCCAGTCTCTTCTTAAAAACCTCCAGTGATGGAGCGCACATGATTTCTGGAGGCAACTTCTGTTCCACTGGTTAATTGTCCTCCCTGTTGGGAAGTTTCTCCTTAATTCCAGGTTGCTTCTTTCTTTGATTAGTTTCCATCCATTGTTTCTTGTCCTGCCCTCCGATGCTTTAGAGAATAATTTGGTTTCCTCTTCTTTGTGGCAGCCTTTCAAACACTGGAAGACTGCTATCATGTCACCCCTAACTCTTCTTTTCTCCAGACTACCCAGACCCAAATCCTGCAGCCATCGTCCTTCACATTAAGGGTCCTTTAGGGGCTGCAAATTGCCCAGAGAAGCTTCATTTATTTTTAGCACTTGCCTATGTATATGACATTTCACATTCCTTCAGTTCTAGGACTGTTTACTCTATTTCACATGTTCCTCTCATTTCCCAGCCCCCTCCTCTCTGTAGGTTAAGCTTGTGAGTGGGGCAAGGGGTGGGGGAAAAAAACCTTTGGACCCCCTCTTGCCTCTTCTCATTATTTTTGTCATCCCCCCCACCCCTGATGGAGAAAATCATTTGAACTTTTCTGCAAAGCCATGGAGCCAGATTGACTGCCTTGAGAACTTTGGTGGAATTGTTGATGTCCACTTAGAGCTGATAGCAATAAAAACACCCAAATCCTCCTTTTCTTTTCAGGCATGGAGGAGCTGGCTAGAGAGAGCATCAGCTTGCTAGCAAAGCCATCCCGGGAGTCTGAGATCCCCCAGCTCTCCTCATCTGGTGCCATCTTCATCTTGCTCAAATCTGCCCTTGGAGCAGGACTCCTGAATTTCCCCTGGGCCTTCAACAAAGCTGGTGGACTGGCCCCAGCGATCTCCGTGGAACTAGTAAGTGCCAACGGAAAGCTCTCCAGATCTCTTGTGGATTGAACCATCTGAGATCTCTGTGTAGGTTGGATACCTGTGATCTCTTGTGGATTGAACCATCTGAGATTGCTTCTAGATTGTACCTGAGATCTCTTGTAGATTGGAGCATGTGAAGTCTCTTGTAGAGTGGATGCCTGAGATCTCTTGTGGGTTGAACCATCTGAGATCTCTTGTGGATTGTATACCTGAGATCTCTTGTGGATTGGACCACCTGAGATTTCTTGTTGATTGTATACCTGAGATCTCTCATAGATTGGATATCTGAGATCTCTTGTGGATCAGATCCTTGAGATCTCATGCGGATTGGACTACCCTAAGATTTCTTGTAGACTGGGCTACCTTGTCCTCGTGGAATAAATAGTGATAAATTTCAGGTCATTCAGTCCAAACTGTTGATTTGGAAGCAAGTTCCTCATGTGTTTAATAACCTATGAACCAAAGACTAGAGAGGCCCCTTGACAGAAACATGCAGCTACATGTAGTCCTTGACTTACAAGCATTTGTTTAGTGACTGTTCAAAGTCACTGGCTTTGGCATTGAAGAAAAAGTGACTTGCAGTCGGTCCTCACTCTTATGACTGTTGCAGCAACTGCAAAGTCACGTAGATCAAAATTTGGGTCTTTGGCAACCAGCAGGTGTTTACAATGGTTGTTGTCATCTGGGATGATGTGGTCACCATGTAGAACCTTCCCATTTGTCTTCTGACGAGGAAAGTCAGTGGGGGAAGCCAGTTCTGCTTAACAACCCTGTGATTCATTTAACAGCTGCAGAGCAGTTGTCGTTAACGACCGCTTGGCTTTGCCATGGAAATTTTGATCCTGTGATTGTACTATCAGTTGAGGGTTACCTGTATCTGCCTGGCAATGCTTCGTTCTGACTTGGCATCTTTCTCTTCCTACAGCCCAGCTGTGCATGAAAAGCTATTTTATGCCATTTGAAAAACATGTTCAACTGAGCTATCCCATTCAGTGTGGAGAAGGGACATTGAAAAAGCCTGCTGGCGCTTCATTTAAGGATGAATAATTAAAATTAATGGTGCATTATTTATATTTGTGTGCTGTTCTGTTCCTTCCCTGTCCCCTGCATATCCCATAAAACACAGTGTTATGGTCTGTTCTTTATTTAACCACAACATTGACTTTAACAATCATACAAGAAAGGTTAGGTTCAAGGAGGAAAAAATATATAATTTAGTGGAATATGGAGTGGATCTCTCTTAAAATAATCTACATTTCAAACCACTTTGAGGTTGCTTGATGTCCTTGGGCAATGTGATTTTCAGTAGGTATAAGGTGGCCCAAACCTTTACACTACAAAAGGAACAATTCTGGAGATTGTGAAAAGATGCCCAAAGCTGCATTGGTCCAAAATCCACAGCTGGTGGGTAGCTTTATTGCAACCAGCAATGGAACATAATAATGTAACCTAATATTTTTCCATTTCTCCATTTGAATTTCTCATTAGGCGAGGTCTATCTGTCTTTCTGTCTCTCTGTCTCTCTCTCTCTCTTTCTTTCTTTCTTTCTCTCTTTCTTTCTATCTCACTCTTTATCTCTCTCTCTCTCTTCCTCCCACTCTCTCTCTGTCTATCTCTCTCTCTCTTTCTCTCTCTGTCTGTCTCTCTCTCTTTATCTCTCTCTCTCTTTCTCTTTCTGTCTCTCTCTCTCTGTCTCTCTTTTTCTTTTTCTCCCTCTGCCTCTCTTTCTCTCTTTTTCTCTTTCTCCCTCTGCCTCTCTTTCTCTCTTTCTCTGTCTCTCCTCTCTGTCTCTCTCTGTCTCTCTCTGTGTGTGTCTCTGTGTGTCTGTCTATCTGTCTGTCTGTCAGTCTTTCTGTCTCTCTCTCTCTCTTTCTTTCTTTCTCTCTTTGTCTGTCTGTCTGCCTGTCTCTCTGTGTGTCTGTCTGTCTGTCTGTCTCTCTCTCCCTCTCTCTCTCTCTCTCACACACACACAGAACACCACCAGCAGGCAAGTCAAAAATAAGTCCTGAGATGTGTACGTCCATATAAACACCCTGAGAAAGTTATACATGTGTCCAAATTCTCCACATTTTAAAGAATATGGTCCTTTTGTGTCCAATTCCACACTACTTAGTTGCATCAAGAACACAAAATGGCTTGTCTTGTGTTATAGTAAAGGCTAATATATTTACGAGTTGCATTGATCCATGAAAATTTAAGCCTTAACACATTTTATTTATTTTTCTGTAAAGTTGTAAAGAAATCATATATTTGAACTTCAAACAGGATTGGGTTTCTTTTGGTGAAAAGCTGTTTTGTAATATTCAGCCAATGCCAAAGCTCTGAAGCTGGCTACGTTCTGATGGACACTTTTTTTCTGAGAGCTTGCTTGGTAAGAAGCAAGAACCAATCTTCTCAAACATCTAAAGAAGAGCCAACCTTCTCAAATATCTAAAGAAGAGCCAACCTTCTCAAACATCTAAAGAAGAGCCAACCTTCTTAAATATCTAAAAACAAACCAACCTTCTCAAACATCTAAAGAAGAACCAACCTTCTCAAACATCTAAAGAAGAACCAACCTTCTCACACATATAAATAAATCTTCAGCAGCAGTTCTCTCAATTTGATCTCTCTTAAGGATGAAGACTTGGTGTGCATCACATACCTAGACTGGACTAAGGGCATTTGTAATCTGCTGTATTGTGGGGAACCTGGTCATTGACTTAATCTGTTGAGTGAACCAAGCCATCGTGTTAATGTAGATGATTTGGGTATAACGTGGAATGTATATGTGGACAATATGTTGGGCTAACCTGGGTTTAACATGTTGTGTGAACTTGGTCTAATGTATGAAGTGGATGGGCCAATGGTAAGAGATCCACCATGTGCCTTCCATAGAAATGCAAGTAGTGGCTACCCAAGGTAATTCTTAGAGACACTCCTTAGACTTCAGCACCATGGACAGGGACACATTCCATTGACTTGTTTTCAGTTGGCTCCTACAGTACTTTTCTTCAGTGTCTTCTTCTCTTGTCTCTCCTGGCAGGGATCTTTGATATTCCTCATTAGCGGCTTAGTAATCTTGGGTTATGCTGCTTCCATCAGCACCCAGACAACCTACCAAGGTGTGGTGAGAGAAATCTGTGGGTCAGCTGTGGGCAAGCTTTGCGAAGTCTGCTTCATCTTGAACCTCTTCATGATCTCCGTGGCCTTCCTCAGAGTTATGGGAGACCAACTAGAAAAATGTGAGACCTGGATTCCCTTGGACCTTGCTAACTCAGCTTTGGTACTCAGAAGTCTTTTTTGGCTGGGTGAGATGGTGGGAATGGTAGAGGAGGTGACTTCATTTTTTTCACCTTATTTTCTAAGAATTCCTCCGGGGCTTACATAGGACACAGAGATTGTCCAGGAAAAAAAAAAGCTGAGGTCCAGGAATGGTGTCCTGCAGGTCTCCAGATTCTTAGCAGATAAAAAATTGTATGAAAAAACAAAATGAATCAAGTCAGTGGGGACTTGAAACCTCATTGGGCATGCCAGCTACTCCATGTACCCATTTTAGAATGGAGAACAAATTCTGGTAGATCAAATTGAACTCTACTGTCCTGAATCTAATCCTTCTATGAAGCTCGGAGGAATTGCATCAGGAAAAACCAAGCACCTTGGGATATATGCTTTAAATCAGGGGTGTCCAACCTTGGCAAATTTAAGACTTGTGGACTTCACCTCCCAGAATTCCCCAACCACCATGGCTGGCTGGGGAATTCTGGTGTCAGGCCTGGAAGCCATCTTTTGCATTGAGCCTTCAGGCCAGGCACACTTAATGCTTTGGGAAAATGGGAGGGGGGATTGTATGGAGTATGGGAGATATATAGTCATAATAACATTCCTTTCTCAGAGAGTCAAGAACACCTTGCCCCGCACCTGGAGTGGTGTGACTGGGAGGCATCTTCAGTTGGTACAGGGAATTCCCAAGCCAGCCATGGTGGTTGGGGAATTTTGGGAGGTGAATTCTGGGGAGGGAGGGAGGGAGGGAGGGGAGGAAAATAGCAATAGCATTTAAACTTATATACCATTTCTCAGTGTTTACAGCCCTCTCTAAGCGCTTTACAGAGTCAGCCTATTTCCCCCAACAATTTGGGTCCTCATTTTACCCACCTCGGAAGGGTAGAAGGCTGAGTCAACCTTGAGCTGGTGAGATTTGAACTGCCAAACTGCAGCTAGCAGTCAGTTGAAGTAACCCGCAGTACTGCACTCTAACCACTGCACCACCTTGGCTCTGTTTCATTGGAAAATACCCTTTTCATGGTCTGTTGTAACTTGGAACAATTGCTAAATGGTTGGTCAAAACCCGAGGATTGCCTGTAGGTTAAACTAAACAGAGTAGAAGAAGACCAACGGATAAATTGGTCCGATTCAAAAGCCTTCGGATACATTCCTGCCCTCTACTAACTGTGCCCTTTCCTAACTTCTTCCCAGTATGTGACTCTTTCTCCATCAACAAAACCCAGAATGGAGACACTTTTCGCCAGCCGTGGTTTATCGACCAACGTTTCACCTTGTCCACCTTGTGCCTCTTGGTTATTTTCCCACTCTCCATCCCAAGACAAATTGGTTTCCAAAAATATACAAGGTAAGGAAGAGTTCAAAGGGCCCAGTTTTGGAACTGGGGTAGGCCAGGGATGAAGTCTAGCCCCAACTTGGAACAGATTTATATCCTCAGGTGTTGTGGCCTGTCGGCTGCCAGCCCCACTGACAGCCGAATCAGAGGAGGAGGAGGAGGGAGTGGGAGTGAGGGTCAGCATCAGGGCAACCTGAGAGCTCCGTGGGGGAAGAGGGAATGGAGGTGGCAGAGAGAGAGAGAGAGAGAGAGAGAGACAGAGAGAGAGAGACAGAGACAGAGACAGAGACAGAGACAGACAGAGAGAGACAGACAGAGACAGAGACAGAGAGACAGAGAGAGAGACAGAGAGACAGAGACAGAGAGACAGAGACAGAGAGACAGAGACAGAGATGGAGCCCTGGCCCGTCCGTCAGACGTCAGATGGAGAGTAAACAGCCCACAGGTCTGGAGATGGCTGATGAGGAAAAGGAGGAACAGCTGGGTCCAGTGCTTGAAGTGTGAATGTGCAGAAGGCAGAGGAGAGGAGAGCAGTGGAAATCTATGGGCCGGTCCTTGGGACAGAAGAGCCATCGTTGCTAGTGAAGTTCCACTCTAGCTCTGGGGATAAAAGGCAGGGGG